TTAAGCTAGTCATGAGACCCAAAATAGTATAAATGACAACGTTCATTACCAAGCATAAATTCATTCTGTGTATAAGTGACATGCATTGTTATACCAAATACTTAGTAAACTACTTCGATTGAATTCCTTTCTGAAATTATCCTAGTTCTGCTGGTGTACCACTCGTTTATTGAGTATTGTCCTCCTTGTCGTCTAAAGGTCACATCAGTGAGGAAAATGTCATCTTAAAATTAAGAAATTGACCATTCAGAATGTTAAGCATGCAAAATTCACGGATCTCATTCTATGGAAGATGTAAAACTTTGTTTAGCATTTTTTCAGTGTGGTGCATTTATGGCTGTTGGTTCGTTCACCGAGCTTGATAGCAGCATTGCAAAAGTTTCTTTCCCAACCGAAAAGAAATCGGCTATGTTGCATATCAGAGCAACAGCTCGTTCGAGTAGTCTATATTCCGCAAAACGGTACCTTTAATTACCCCATGATACACACCAATTGGACTAATTTTTATAGATCACTAACCATATTTTGCTTGAATTTATATAAGGCAACAAATTCTGCATGAACAAAAACAGTTTGATTCTCAGGTCTCATTAACTCACCTTCGTTATAGTTAACATATTGCTGTGAATCAGATAAATTTATACTGAGTGTTAACAAACAGTCTAAGTGCACGAATTAGACGTGGTTGTCCTACGTACAAAGAATATACCCGGTCTGGCATAGTTTATTCGCTTCTATTCAGTTACACAGGTTCTGAGCGGCATTACTAGGATTGCGGGACAACAAATAGGCGCTTAGTTGAAATCTGGTCTTGATGGACTTTCGAAAAATGGGGCTCAGTTTAATTTGTTTCTAATTATTCAGCATAGACACATGGTGTGAATGAAAGGTGCAAGTGAACGGTGAATGAGGTGTGCATTCTGAACATCTGAGAAGAACTGTTGATGAGCTTTACAGCACTTTGCCCAGCCTAAATAGAACCTTTGTGAAATCGTCATGCGACTCAGTAATGAACAGTAAAATGGTAGTCAGTAACCAATTTCTTGTTGAGAGAAAGAAGTATTATCGAAATATCTACTGTTGTTATAATAGGCTTATAGGAGGATAGTAACAATATAAAAATAATTTGGAGCTAAGGCACTTGACAAGCCAGAACCCTACCCTTCATCACCAACTAACAGTTCAAATCGAAACGGATCAACGGCTGAATTTCCCCACCCAGAAAGTGAGGAAGCAAGGTATTCTGGTTTTTGGCGCTATCGTAACTTAAGCCAGTGTATCGCTTTAATCAATCGTATAGAAACACCCAAACAGTAGTAACTCTTTCACATTCGTCCAAATGAGTTCCGATCCCACTGAAGTCAAACATAATGAAAGTTATGCGTTTTCGTGACACAAGAGAAGTCTGATAATCGAAACGTAAGTCCTTGGTCCTAATCACAGGGTTATCCGGATCCAATGAAGAAAAATACCCTTGTATATGTAATACACTACTCATAAGATTGCTGAAAATCCTTCGACAGCTTATTGGTCCTCCATCCAGCTACTTTAAAGAAGTCCAGAATTATTACTCATATTGTAGGTCATCCACAATAAGAATCAACTGGGCAACTGGACATTCTTGTCTCCGTGCACGTGCACCCTATTCTGTTGGGGAAGTACTGGCAGCAGGAAAAGTAGTTGCTCGATGACAGAAGCTTTTGGAGTGATAGGCTGCATATATTTTTACCGTCAGTTATAATACCATGACGTACTGTTCAAATTTATTGACTGGGATCTGCACTAAACCCGAAACGGCTCAATCAAGATTTCCGCCATTATTCTGAGGAATATATGACGAAGTTTGTTTTCGTCGTATTTATTGTAAACTGCTGACCATCCATACATTTTTGATTTTGAAAGCTAGATTTCATAATCTCAGGTCTGATTTGTGTAAGGCAATAAAGTATTCAAATAAAGTTCATAAACTTCGGCTTATTATATCTAGCTGACATTCAACTCAAATATATAAGAGGTTTGGTATTAATTTCCGCAAGATTCAAGATTCGTCATGACATATTTATCAGGCGCTACGGTCAACAGCCTCCCTTTGGGTGAACGAGATACAACTATCAATCCTTATCAAATTGCTGATTCATTTATCTCAGTTATTGGAGAATTATTTTGGCAGCACTTTGTGATGAAGGCTGTCCAGTTAGAACAGAGAATCTCAAATTTGGATCTTGTCTCCGTCGTGCAAAATGAAAAAGGATAGGTTGGACGAAGCAAGTTTGCCAAAAGTTTCCCCTAATTACTGAACAAGAGTTTGAAAACCACATGTTCATATCTGCAAAACGTTCCGGCCATGTCACAAACAGCCTGTTGTATATTTATTCTACTCCTAAAATCCAGGAAGCAGCGTGAATCCCATACTGGCTACAGTGACATTGTAGATGGTCATTGCTCAGCTCTATCCCACACAGTCTAAAAAAATGAGAGTAGTTTCCTTTTCTGGATTTTTGAATCCCATTTCTTAGGTATGGGAGTGTTGCTTTTATCCGACTTACGCACTATCCTCTGTATTTTTATTGCATAATCTGGCTACTTTTATATTGCGCTGCCCTTCAGCGGCAGTCTCCTAATGTTGACTGTTTTGTTGGTGCTTTCGAAACTACCAAATATGGGTATTTAAATCGATTAAAAAAACTCATTTGCTTGATTTGGCCTATTGGCCCGTAAAATAGCCTGGTGCGTAGTTTGCTAGGGAAAAGACAGCTTCAATGAAGGAAACGCACGGTTCACAGACGGCTACCTGAGGAAATCCACCGTAGTTTTTCGGTGAACCGAAAGAAATGTTAGTAGGTCTACAACCTGTCTGCCAAGATGACAAAAATTGATATGGTTGATTTGCAACATGACGTCCCTAAAACTTGAGAGCTAAGTGGCATCCTGAGGTTCCATCTGTCTGGTGATTCAGCTCCAACGGTGACTTGCGGATGGACATGCAGCCAAAACACAGCTTCAACGAACAACAGATGGCCGGATATACACTGATAAACAATAGAACAGAAACCAGTTGCAAACAACTTCCCATTCATAGCCAGTAATGTGACCTTGAAATATTAATCGGTTTGGTTTAGGATGCACTGACGACTATTTTTCAACACATCATAAGCCTAAACTGATAGCATTCACATATGCTTTTATAATTGCTTACTTGTGCACTTAAAATTATTACTGTTTCACCAAATTCAACTCATAATAGAAGGCCCAAGAAGTCACCAGTTTTTCATCGGAAAGTTTGCGAATATAATAATTGGCAGGTTTATTGCTATCAAGGATTTTCCAGTCTTCGCTGAAAAGGACCACTCTCATACAGTATCAAGTGTTTTCCAACTGAGTGACCACCACTAATTCTTTGTTAAACGTCTGAATAGTATAGTTCAAATTTTCGAGGTGAACTATAGAGTGTCCCACAAGCACTTTCTTTCAAAATATAAGCATGTCATTCCTTGATATTTCAGTACACGCTTCATCTGGCGAGCTGTTTCACTACCTGAATTCGAAGCCCTGCAAAGAGAGCCAACTACAATTTTTTACACAGAACAATCGGTTGTCAGCAGGACACATTTTAGGTGGTCTGGGGTAAATTTCGCGGGTCTAGAAAACCCGCATGTATGGTTGGACACCTGACTGTTGTGGCTTTAGATTTAGATTAAACTTCTGTATGAAACAGTCACATGTGAATAGTCTTAATTTGCCATCCGGTTCTTGATTTCTTTGGCGTTCTTCTTCCCTTAAAGCATGCATATTACACTAGTGCGACATTTAAGTGTGAGTGAAACTAACAATCAGTTAACAATACTTTAATAGTTATGCTCATTTTTCCGTTTCACCCTTTAATAAATTAGGATGAGATAGGCTCCGTGTGTAGTTATTATACAAACAGTCACATAGTATCTCACATGTGACTATAAAAAATGACGTCGTCAGGAAGACTGCGTGATTAGGAGAAGCAGCTGCTTTCATTCTGCTGAAGCGACGGATTCCACAAATGTATAGAACAAAAGTGCAGAAACATACTGGTATTCAGCGATGTTTGGACTTCGATTCAACTTATCGGAAAACAACGGTTTTGTGAACATACACTTCACACTACCAGATACCTGGAGAATTCTATCAGATTCGACAACAAGATGAAGCAAAACCCCGATGAATGTTCACCAACACGATTGTCGATAACATGACTGTGATGGGTTTCGCACTTATAAACAACCGAATTAAGCAACAGAGAATAAGGTGCAATCTGCATTTAAAAGAGTTAGAGGGCTTACCTTATCAAAACATAAAGTAATGAGAGTTTGGTTGCAACGAAAAGGTGGCCACATGACCTTTTGAAGTATATATTTTGTAGGCAAATTTGTGGAGTTGCTAATGAAGATCTCGTATTGTAACTGAAGCCTGTCTATACCAAAAAAAATCCTGTACAGATTTTTCAGTCTCATTGAGAAGATTCAGCGGTGCGCAGCTTACAAAATTTCGCAAAACTTCGTGAGACGCTTACTTCTGACGATCCCCAATAAGGATGAAATAGCTATACAGTGCTCCTCGGCCTTTCAACATAGGTGATCTTCATTACAGGGAAAATCCACATTAAAATTCCCCAAAATTCCCATACTAATAGCATTTAATGGACTTGTCCGTTCTTTTTAATATTTAGATCTCACGGTCTTTTACCGGGATTCGGTAAATAAGGCTGACGTATTTTTCTTAGTTCGCTCTGGTTAAGTTAATTTACCGACTGCTGATATCTTATTTTGAGCTTCGGAAAGAACAGTAGGGACAAAATGTTTACTCCCTAATTTCTGCCCTCCCGATGATGAATGGCCACTCTCCGCATACTGATGTATTTTATTGGCTGTCCCAAACAATAGCCACATATAACCCGAGCATGCCAATTGCCATAAAAAAAGGGTTGATTTGTTGACCTGCATTTCAACGTTTGTCGACGGATTACTCACTGACCTTTTGTGAATAACGGTATATTTTGCAGTCTGACTTAGCCGATCGTGCAGCTCGTTTACGATTTTTTCGACCTGACGCTTCAGTTGACTTTGGCTCAGTTCCGCCGTGTCCTTATTGTATGACCGCAGTTGATTCCTTAGTGTATCTTCTTTGGCCACGAGTTCTTGCATCTCCTTCTTTAGTTCATCCAGTTTCTGTTCATTAGCAGAGGGTAAAAATAAAAAAACAGTTGAAAATTTGGAGATTTGTTTTGTAAATTAAGTTGATCTGAACAATGTGTGCAACCAACAGATGCGCTGAAGAGAGCTCGCTACGTAAGGCATGACACAGTATTCGTGCTTCCTTTGGGCGGCATAGCTGTTTCGCTCTGAGAGGTGTCGCAGGTGAAGAATTCCTGCAATGATACCAGCGCATGGTTTTATTGGTTGCCGGAAATACCTTTGCAAGTAGCAGTCTAATCATTGTTTTCAGTCAAAGTTTGTTAGACATCTGGGCTTTAAATCTATCTTTACTTACCTGAATGCAGGACATGGGTGTCGCTGCTAGCTCCGTATGTTCACTTGCAGGCAAATCTTCCTCCACAGATTTTCTGAAAGTTTAGAGTGAAAACCGTTGAGAAATTCAAGTGAGTTCTCTTGGGCATCTGCATGGAATAGTAAATTTGACTATTTTCAAGCTGTTGTGCTATATCTAATATAGTAACATCCTCTGAGATTTGTGGCCTACCCCTAGTGTTTCTCTTTACAAGGATACAATGGACATCAAATCAATGGTTTGTGTTGACTGACTAATTGATACTGGACCGAAGTTAACTATATTATAGTAGATTCTTGGCTTCAAATATCTCTGATAGATGCACTGTTTAGAATAGACACTTTCGTCGTCAACTCAATGAATATATAATGTGTGCAACTATGTATAATACTGCACACATCATATATAGTGAAATGTACAGTAAGACTGCGTCCAAAAATATAGAGCATTAATCAAAATGGGAACAAACACTTCACTGTTATTAAAAATGTCTTGCACAGATGCATGATACGCTGAAACGCTTTAAAAATACTTCGCTGCCAGTGTCAGTCATTTTGAACTACTTTTTCTAAGCAATATTTAACGTTCCACAAACTAACCTGGGGTTACGGAATTTTTTAAACTCTGTCGTGCTCAGATACGAGTATTGCCTACACAGTATTCGCTATGTCTAAGTTACTTTAACGGATGACGAAAACCAACAGTTAACTATAAAAAAGCAAACCTGTGCTAAAAAGCCAGTACACTATAAGAAGCTACTACACCCTTATTAGCTTGCTGTGCGTATCTCACCAATCCCAATGAAGACGAAACCCCATGTAGTAGTGCAACACTATGTCGTTCAGTTTGAAATAGCTAACCACTAGTGTGGACAATCCATATCATGTACGTAGTGAGTACCACGTGAATTGGTGTTGATTGACTCTCGAAATCGAGGGATATCCAAATTTTGGAATTATTTTAGCCGTGAGTGTGTTTTGAAGTTTCATAGATCGAGTATGTGCTTTGGGATACTTATACTACGTAGGATGTGGAAATCACTGGCTACGAAGAGTTGACATCCCCCACTTTATTGACTCTCAATAAGACAGAATCTGTTGTCCAAGAGTTTAGTCAGTACCAGATTGCCTGATTTGAACTAGACGTTTGACGGATAAGCGACACTATATCCTACGAGGTGTCAACCACTGATCAGTAAAGACTAACCTAATGAAAGTATTCAAAATTTCACCCGATGATTTGGTCTGACACTTTGAGATGCCTAATGTTGGAAAGCGCCATATTAGTTCATTTAAATATATACCGTTGATCCAGGCAAGTAGCAAATTAACTTTGGATTTTTTTCGGAAACTTCCTCACAGGCAAAAACAGAACATCTGATTCTATAATAATTTCGCATGATAAACAGTGAAGCACATGACACACAATCGTTTCTCAGTACACGTGACAAGGCTTTCTTCCGTGTCACAAGGTTTTCCTGAGAAATGGATTTCTGAAACATTTGAGCCCAGCAAGATTCATTAAAACATGATAGTCTGCCAAATCCGACAGCCGAACATGTTGCCATACAAGGTCGTTCGGGAGCACTATTTTTGTTTCCGTAATTTTTATCCTTAATGGATGTTGACGGTAGCATGAGCATTGGTTTTGAAGTAGTGTGGAAAATAGATTTATCATGTACATGTTTCAACAGAACTAACTACATATTTTACTTCCATTCCTGGTTTATCTAACTACTGTAACTGATTGTATGTGGAGCTGTAATCTGAGTGGAGACTGCTTCACCTTATCTATGCTCACCTGAAAAGATAAGATGACCATAAAACTACTACCACTCCTGTTACTGTGTTCAGGTTTTTCCGGGATCTGTGAACGTGCACCGCAAATAATAGGCTGAATCCTTCCAGCAACTTCCGTACAGTATCTCAATATTAAATTGCACACTTCTAGGGAAACTTAATCCAATGTCATATTTATACTTCTATCTAAAAAGCCAATGCTTGAATATCCTGTTAAACTCCCTCTTGAGAATGTATGCACCTACGAGCTTTTCCAAGCCACAAACTAAAGAACACTTCTTCACTGCTCGAACCGTTTTACATTTGAAATGGGGTAATCGAAATAACAAAAATATGTGTTGTACTTGTTAGGCCCACACCAAAGGCAAGAAGCGTCGATTTCTATCTTTTTGCAGAGGATCTGAGTACTTCAGCATTGACCGACGAGACGGACGCAACCAATCATGGACTGATAGGGGATTCTTGCAAGTTCATCCATAGTAGTTGCAAGCGTAATCTTTGGGACGGTTAAGAAATGAATAATCCAATATATTCTATTGACGCAATTCAAGAACGCGGATTGTATCCATTTGGAAACAGTGCAACTTTCTACTTTAACATTAAACATCTCTGCGGCTAGTGCAACCAATCTCTCAACATCTCCTATTTGCATTTGCGGAACATGGGCTTTGCGAAAGAACACGGATTTTTTAAGTTGTCACAGGGAAGAGAAGAATGTGCTGAGTCTTTTCAAATCCCACAATCAGTCCTTTTAGCTCTACGTCTAACGTGTGCATAAAGGCGAAACAAATCCAGATTTTTGTGTGCCTGGATCAAGCAAAGCTCACTGTATGGATTTAGCTGATCATTGTTCAGTTACGCCAAACCCAAGCCTCGTTAATCATTTAGCAGAAAACCTAAGGCAGCCTCCTTCACATTAGGGTCCGTGCACTCGCCATTTGTTTAGTGCGCTATAAGTCTCACCTACTGCAAATGAGTATATGAATAAACAGCTTCGTGGTTCACTGCCTTCTGTCATATTTAGTTCCCCCAAGTTGCCGCAGAATGTCACAGAAAAAAACACGTCCTTGATTTTTTCACAGAATTCATACTATCTCAGCAAGGAACTAAATACCAATATGTATCAGCAGTTGCTGGACATCTTTGTGAAGTAAAAGACTTGAGCGGAAGAAAACTGGATCGGACTTGAAGCCCTGCAAGTGATACACGCCCAGGTTAGCACACGACACAAAAATTTGTGCAATTGACTGAGAAACACCAAAGTGATTAGTGAGAGGTTGGTCCAAGCTCTGACGTAAATCTTACACGAGTGAGGGGAAAATCAACAGCTAAACTGCCGCTGATGCAGTTCCTTAAGCTCAGCCTAAATGAGGATTTTTCAGGAGAACCGAGCCGGGTGTGATGGCGAACGTGTCGTTTCCCCAAGAAGCGTTCGCCCAGGCATTTATCAGCCGATTCACAAGAAAGATAAATGGTGCTTTCGGATTAAAGCTATTGATTGATGGAGTTGCTTTGAAGGAACACAGAAGAGACGTTCAAATCAGGAAATATTTATCAGTGACTTGTTCTTACAAAACATGGAATAAACTGAAAGGAGGATTTGAAAGTGATGTTACTAATGAACAGAAGGAACTGTTGGCAGGTTCAAGTTCACGGATTTTCCATGGCAAACTTTGAAGAAAGTGCCCAAGTAGTATTGTAAAGTGGAATTCGGACAGATTCCAACAGTGTGTGAGCAATCAATGCCATTCAGTGAGCTACACTGATATATTAATCCTAGCTTCCATATCATTTCTGTCTTATTAATATTAAGTTAGTCTTTGTCAATGGATCCACTGGTCCGAAGTGGGTTAAAACGGAAGGCTTTTTCATATATTTGGTTCGGACTTTCATCCATCTCCAGCCAACGCGATGGAGATCCAAAGTTCTGCTTTCAGAACAATGCAGAAAGAATAAATGCAAACAGCTGATCCGCCACACATAAGCAGAGACGGAACGTTTTTATTTGCTTGGTTAAAAAACATCTTTCACATTTTTTCATGGTCTTTTCTATTCAAAAAGGAGTTTTACTATGTCTTTAATTGCTTTTGTAACACTACACGTGTTTTCCATTTTGACATCACGAGTAATTAATGTGATGAAGTAATTTGAAAAGCTTTTTTTGGGACTGAAGAGGAGGACCAGTAACAATATACTGAAAATATGAAGGACGCCAAACAGATTGGGGGCCAGTACACTAAATCATCCGGCGTGAAACGCGCGCTTTATTGCATACCAGCCGGCTTTCTGTGAAATACACGGGTCATTGCTCATTCCCATGTGTTGCAAACTCTGTACATTTACTCGAGATAAGAAATATAGCTAAATTTGTTGTCTGGACATTCCGAAACGCCATAACTAATTAGGCATCAAATTTTATGCTGGAACTTGTTAAACATTGTAGATTTCTTGGAAACAAAGATGGCTGTTTTCGGACCAGTATAGCAAAAGTTGCTGAATAAGATTATTCAGGGTCCAGCTATCTTATCGGAAAGTTATCAGTACTGACAATTGTCCCTAATCTGGGAAAGTCCATTGAAGCATTTATTATTACTACCGACATCGTTAATCAGTAAGGACGTGCTTTGGCTAACGAGTGACATGCTCGCCTATCAGAAAAAGGAAGTGAGGTCACACTGGGTCTTGTCAGCCGATATTAGTTATGATCTGTTTTTGAACTAGGTAATATGCTCAGACTTTTGTGTACGCCTGCAACTCACCTTCCACTGACAGTATTCTTCCCATTCGGGCTATACAAAAGAGCTGCATCAAGCATCCGCCAGACGATCTGAAAGTTGACGTTTGTCGATAATGGTTAGGAGGAAAGAGATTAAATTAAAGATGCAGTAAAATACAGTAACACTTGAAGCTAAATCTGAACAGAGGTTATTGGTTGAGGAAAGGCAACAAAACAGCAAACAGACTGGTAGCAGTTTGTCGATAATCAGGAAAGCAATCGCCTATTGTCTACTATTGCTGACTTGCTTTGTGTCTTTTGAACATGGTGTGGTGAAGCGATTGCCCATGCCACTGAGTGAACTGGGCGCCGAAATGAACGAATACCCACGGGAAGATGTATTTTACGAATTGCTGTCGTTGAAAGCACATCATCACAAGAATCTGGAACTGCAGATTATGACTATATTCTGGACCTTCAAAACAAAGCTGGTGGCACTAAAAGCCCAAACACTAAAAAAAAACACAAAGGTTGTAAAAATGTGGACGAAGTGTGCATAAGTAAACGTCACTAGTCCCAACTCACCCCCAAACTTCTGTTCATACTTCTGTGAGTGAATCAGCTCAACAGGGTTATTGTTATTCACCTTCCGTATTGATACATCTTTTCGTACAAAGTAATACTTTCTTCAGCCAATGTCTATAACCTACCTTTTGGTAGGGCATGTTCACCGTTGCTCTGCATGCCACAGTGAGGCATCAGTTCTAGAAACATACACCAGGCCTTTCTTCCAAATTTCGGAGATGATTGGTTCAGCNACTTGGTTCAGCAGATTCATATTATCAGACTGTTTAGCCCAAATGAGGAAAGAGATGTCCCAAACTGTGTTCAGTTTCCATGCAGTCGCCTCAAAGTTGGTAAAACTCCAACTTCGGTAACCGTATCTTCTTATTTGCAAACTCTTCCATGCGTTTCTCGCTTGTGTTGCTTCCAAATGTCGCAACTACCAAACTCATATGATGTATCTCATGAGGATTTTACCATCCTAACATAAGGAGGAGCAACAATACTGTTGACATGAGTGCTATATAATGTCTTGCAATCATAAAGTTTATTCAGTGGTAAGTAAGGATTCAAAGTAAAAAAGGGACTGAATGAGGAAGGGGTCTGGTGATGGCCTAATACAAGCATTATGGGCTTCCTACATATCAAAACGCCAAAGAAAATAAAAACAAGTGATGTTGGTAAGACTTTACCTGTTACACCGTCTACAAGCAGTCACAAAGGGGAAAAGGGAACCACGTCATAGAAGGCGGACTCTGCCACCAAAATATAAGCTCTCCGCAAATTCTGCCGTTCTCAAGGAGGCCCGGAAACCAACATTATCCTCATGCTTCAGTGTGCATACAAAATGACCAAGCTACCGCAGCTGGTGCTACCTGATGTTCCCCGCTGCCTTTTTACGTGCTGCACAGAAGACACTCGTTTCTAATCACTTAGTTATGAATTCTTCGACGGCTTCCAATGCCAATGACGCTTGTTAGACATGTGTAGTAAAAACGCTTGAGATACCTATGATTACCTGACCACAGAGACGATGTCTCGCAATCATACGACAACGCAGTTCTTGCGGTATCCGAGTAGAGTGTTAACCCAGTTCCGGATATCTTTGACGCCAAAAACGATGGAAGAACCTGATCCGCGCCTTTCAGTTTTAAACACCGATTTTAAAATACACCCTACACTACCGGTAAGCACCAAAAGAGGTACACGTCAAGAAAGTGAAATCCGTGAGGTATGAACTGGCACTTTGTAAGTGCAAGACACTTTCCAAAAGTTGGTATTGTGATAGTCGTTTTTCAAAAGCACTTGGGCTGTATTTGGGTTTTCAAAGATTGAGAGGATTTCATTTGCGTACTCCAGATTGACAAGCTTTCCATCAGAAACACTTTGGAAACTGGGTTTCAAAGATCATCGAGCGTCCGTTTAACTATTTTGTCAACGACAGAGCTGAACAGAAGTGGAGACAGACGACATCGTTGCTGGACACCACCTTTTATAAGAAACGTTTCAGATACCTCCCCATGCACTCTCAAACTCCCAGGCCTATCTTAATATAAGGATCCCATGGCTTTTGAACAAAGGAGATAGGGTCGTTAGGACGATGAGGGCGACGGCGTATGGTTGAGGATGCGCTTCAAACACTTATGAAGCCTTCAAAAAATTGGGTCGGTTTTTCCTATTTGGATTTTGCAGCAAGAAGAAAAGAGGTTGTGGGATGACGATATTCCGCTTCAATCTGTTCAGCCACAATACTAAAAACACCTATTTGACATCATAATTAGGTATAAGTAACAATGAAATGGTGGAACTTGACCAACCTATGTAGTATGTTCACTTCATTTATCGTAGAGGAGTTATTTTTTCGAAAACCATTCGACGTACTTCAGCACTCATGATGCGGTTTCTCGACCACATTCGGCCAATGTTTCGAAGGCATTGGTGGTCAACACTAAAAGCTTTCCAGGTTCTGGGTAGCCGGTTTTCTGACACGTATAATAAGATAGAGCGCAACACAGTATTACAAACTTGCTCCGCAGACTCTGCTGTAGTATCTGACGGTTCAGAGTCAAACGCAGCTTTCGAGCCAAGGAAAGCCACCATTTCTGGATGCTGCTGTCAGTATCGCTGCTTCGAAATCTGTCGGAGAGCGAAAATTTGATAGATACGTCCGCTTACAGGACGGAGCCCTGCTTAGTTTTCACGGATCTGTATCTCCCCGTGTGCTGTCTGTCAACCAGAGAGCATTCTCGATGTCACAGTTGACAGGTTGAACCCACAGCGTCCGCATAACCGTTTCGAAGTTAGGAATAACTGTCAACCCGCCCTAACTCGAACTCACTTCCTCTTCACTCGATATCGCACCAATGATAGGTAGGCCATCAGGAATTCTTCGCTTTCTTTGAACGGGGCTGGATACAGATCGTCCGGCCTCAATGCCTTCCGATGTTTCAGCATGGATATTTTATACTTTAATTCTTCTTCCATTCCATTTGCCCTAGTGCACTTCCTACAGAAACCGTGTTCCAGGACATCAGCTAAACTGTTTTTTCAAACTGTTCAGCCCATGTTCCCAGTGGAGGATTTTGTGATTGAATTAGTCATCTTTTTCTGTTATCGGTTCACTGTCCCTTGCTCTCCTGTGACCAGTTGATCGTACCAAATGATATACAGGGCGGCTGTTTCCGGTAGAAAAAGCCTTCTCCGTCTTCCGAACTTTCGATGTCCACCATAGCTCTCGGTCTTTCCCCAGGCTGTTCCCTATTTGGCTTTGAGGGATTTGCTTCCGCCATCGTGCCTGCCGGAATGGATTTCCTGGTATCGACGGCATCTAGTGGCTGGTTGTTGGTCTGTTCACCGAGGTTGGCAGTTGGATTGCAAACGTTTCATCATCAAGCGATGTGCCATCTTCAGTTCGGGGTTGAGTTCCACAACATTGCCGGTATCTAGTGGTCTTGTAGTCGAATCGGAGAAGTCGGACAGACAGAAGTAAACGCCACCAGCATAGATCCTTTCAAATTTTGCCGGGAGAACTCCATGTGCTCCCTACCAGTATAGTATTACTTTACTGTAGGGAGTTGTTGAGCAAAAAATAAGATCGATACCGCTGAACTATGGTAGTTTTTCAAAGATGTGACTTGACATGCTTCCTGCTAACTTCTGAGGGTCTGAGAAGAACATAACTCTTAGGCATGCGAGCACCATGGCGTAATCGAAATCAAGTAGTGTACTCCAGAAAGATTGGCCATATTGAATTGTGACGCTCCAACAGTGGCTGATGGCCACGTGATCCAGCTGGGTTTGCGGTTGACTTGCACTTCGTCGCCACCAAGTTAACGATTTGAACGTTAACCCTGAAAGTTCACACTGGTCAGAAACTGTTGGTGATCAGCATATAACCAGAAGAGCCACCTTTCGTTGTTTGTGCGACGAGCATCGACTCCGAATCAAGCGCCCAAATGTGATTCCAAGAAGCTCAAACAACCTACATGAGCATCCATATCGCCCGCAAAATCAGTGTCAGTGCTTCTTCCTTGGTCAATAAATTGTCCAAACGCCTTCATGCGGGACAAGCAGGGTCATGTGCTGCTGCTTTGCACAACATGCAATAGGTTTGCTGCACCACAAAGCATTTTTACGTTGCATTAACTATAAGTAAACGTAAAAACCATCTGCCCACTTTTCACACCATTACACTTCATCCCTGTATCCTTCCGAGCTTTCGTTTGGATTGTATAGCTTCAGTTGATGAATACAAAAGGTGCATTTGTCTAACTCTTGAAATTTGGAATAGCATGGAGTCATAATAGGCGAAAGAAAATTTTGTGGCATGTTGTAATCACCAGTTAACGAATACTCGAAATAACGAAAGAATTCCACATTTGTATAAATATCCTCTTGTTTCAGAGTTTCCAAACATTGTGTACAACAAATTAACAGTTACCAGAAAGGAACTGTTTAGGTTGACTACAGAATCCTCTCCGGAAAAAATATCTCCCTATGTGAGTGGATCTCAAGCTGCATATAAAAAATGGATCATCGAACCCTTGTAACTGAGCCCACTCAGCACACATCGGGCGTCCTGTATTAATTTCACGGTGGTATAATTGGTGATTAGATGCTCAAAACCTAGTGTACATTATCAGTGGTAGGTGTGAACTGAGCCACGGGAGTTGGAAAAAAGTTACTGTGACTTTTAAAATACCGCAATAATTTAACCAAAAATTTTGCCGGTGGTTTCGGTGGTTTTTAGTGCAAAAATATGGAATGCTGAAGAGTTTAGCACAAAAACGCAAGTCGCTGGTTCAGGACTAATTATCATGAAGGCACAATGAATCTTCCTTAGGATGTGACTCTGTACTGGTCTCACAAACCCATTGATTCCCAATTGGAATTTCAGTGTATTATATCATATTTCTTCTACAACATCTATTATAGATTTTTTTAAGTATTCATAAAGGAATTCAGCAACCCAACACCCTTTATTATTCAATCTTGGTCACTTGACATGAGTGATCTTTCAACCAATGGTGTTTAAAGTTTTTTTCCAAAAGACGGAATGCAAATCTGAATCCGAAGTAGAGTTAGATTTGTGTAATTTCTAATGTCTTTGTTTGTAGAATATGTAGGACATCACTTATAAGATTTAACCGATTTGTTCGTTCAGCCGCCACATTGGCTGGGCATCAGGCGACGTTTCATTTAGTCTGAAATAAAGACAAGAGCTTCCTAAAACCATTCACAAGGTCGGTAATGTCAATCCCAACAACGAAATTACGACAATAACTGATTACACCCATAAACTAGCTGGCTTCACATAACCATCCTATGTATGTTCCGCTGAGTACGAAGCGGTTCTTACATTGAAAATAATAAAACCATTCTGACCTGAGGAGACAGAATGCCCACACAAGTAAGTAAAGAGGTGTGACCAACCTACGAGATATAACACAACGTTTCTATGTTGTCCTCTATCAGGAAGAAAAATTCGACACTCGGAAGTTTCGCGGCTGAGGAGAGTGTTAGTCAGGTAATTACCCAGCTCAGCGATCAAACTAACGAACACTAGAATTTTGGTGGTATTCTACTCGAACGAATACAGATGTGATCTTTCAGCCAATCAGTTTACGTTCTGCAGCCATTTGTATGAGCATGTGCGGTTCGCTAAAGGTAGTTTGTCATCTGACCACTCTCTCTTACCTGCTGCACCTTGCGACTGAAGTGTATGTCATGTAGTCTACTACCAGAAACTCATCTACAGAAAACACCAGTGACCCAATGTCATCCGTCTGCTTAGACATCAGAATAAGATTCACTTGCTGCAGGATTTCCATGCTCGCAGTTACGTGTTTCTAGTGGCTAAGTCAGTCAGTACCACACCTCATGAGATCAGATCGTCAAAAACAGGTTGTCCTTACCAGTCGTCCATCTTCAGATATCAAACCATCGGCTTGCCGTCTGGTCGGATGCATTTGCCAAACATGTGGTGAGCGCCAACCTGCCTAGGTTGTCCACCGATTTTCATCAGATGAGTCATGACAGGATCAGTGAAAGGACTCTGAATGACAACTACAGTCAGTGAAACAGCATCCCTTGAGTCCACTATTCCAGCAAAAAACACTTTATAGCCGGTAAAATTCTGTGCTCGTAGTTTTTTTCCCAGACCAGTTAATTTGGCTGCCTGTCTGAAAGGCCCAAAAGAGCGAAAAGTCTTGTGGGAATTGGCACTTCGGTAAAAACCAACATCCTTTTACATCTTTTCTTCTTTACAAGAGAGTAAACTTACGGTGGATGTAATTCAAAATAGTAAAGTGCTAAATCGTTCCACCCTGAAGTTTACGGACACCTCTCTGGTTTACTTCATTATCAAATGGCATGTATTCGTCAAAAAATTGCCAGCAAACGTTCTTTCATATGCGATCAACAAGTATAGTCAAAGCAAGTCTCCCAAAAGTACGCGTCAGTTGAAACCACCCGATTCCGGCTGAAATCGACGATAAATTCGGCATCGATTCTGCTTGAACGTCTTCCACTTGTGTTGGTGTGATTCTTATGGTTACTCTGCATAAAAATGGAGAGGCACTGATCTGATGTTTCGTTCTGGTCAGATGTAAGCAGTAATGTGTGTCCTTGCTTGTCCCGAGATTCAAACTGTTGGCCTGTGACATGCAAGCCCGAGACGTTAGCGTCATTCCAGCAATGAACACCAGATACTTAAATTGTCGTGTCCAAATGGATGGATTTGACTGCAATAACATTGGTAAGGTTGGTATGTCTAGTATGTGTCTAGTGTCTAGTGTCTCAAATAAAAAGCGCAAATATGTCAAGTGGCCCCGACGGTTTTACAGGTTTTCATCAGAAGTAGCCACCTTGGACAGACAGTTAATACAAAGCATCAAAACAGCTGCTTCGCAATTTCAAGTCCATGGATTCATGAAATGTCAGGACAAATTCACGTCCACATCACTCTCGTTTGAACAGTTCCCTCCTGTCCTGGGGCAGTTATTCTGGTGAGTTCACACCAAAGTGGGAAAGCAGTGGAATCGAATTTCAGTGGTATTAATGTGCATCGGCAGCACATAACCTTGGTCACGCTGGGGTTTAGGCTCCCGAAATCTGACGTGCGAGGCCATTGTGTTATCACTGCTTCGCCAGCACATATTGACGGCATCTGACTTGTCACGAACGTGTTCACGCCTGAGCGACGTGATTAGTTTGCCGGATTGCTCGAACGACGACCCGGTAACCATCCTGCTTGTGTCACTCGATTAGCCTGCCCATAGACTTACTGTTAAGTAGCCCAATGTACGCTTGAAACCTGCTGGGAATTTTCAGTTGTTTTAGTGGGTTGCAGGATCTGTAGAACTCAAATAAACATCAAAAAATTCCCATCAGGATTCAAGCGTCAATGGCGCTGCCGTACGGCCAAAACTGAATGAATGAATGAATGAATGAGTGAATGAATGAATGAATGAATGAATGAATGAATGAATGAATGAATGAATGAATGAATGAATTGAATGAATGAATGAATGAATGAATGAATGAATGAATGAATGAATGAATGAATGAATGAATGAATGAATGAATGAATGAATAATGAATGAATGAATGAATGAATGAATTATCCCATAAGAGAGTAACTCGAATCCAATGCCTCCACTCGCCAGAATAATTATGCCAGAATGGGAGAACAACTGTTTGAACGACAGTAATGTGAAGATGAATCCCACAAATCTCGCAAACACTTGCAACTAAGAAACAAACCACCAGCAAGGAATTTACCGCTCGGCCGTCGAAAAACGTTCTACCAATCAATAATTCAGCAGTTGCCTTCAATGTGGAAAACTTCCAATGACATGTCTGACTCTCTGTGTTTTTCCTTCTCGTTCAGGAATGGTAGGTTTACAAGCCCCCGGGGGTGTGGTCGAATGAAACTTCTGAATCTTTTAGACCATAATACACACCAAATGCTTGTCAGATATAACACACTAGTAAAGAAAATGTCAAACTTCGCTACAGTAATTTGAATCTTATCAATTCACCAAAAACTTTTATTCAATTCTTCCTCATAAGTGCAAGAACGATATTTCTTTTCGGAACCCACCTGTCCTGTTTCGGTGATCGTCATTCCGTAGTTGGTGATGTTGACCATTTGACGGGCTGTATGAAACAAATGCTCACGCTGCGTGACCAACTCGGGAATGATTTGCACCAACCGGTTGGTTAACTCATTTATGCAAATTTCAAAATGTCGAAGCGGCCTGTTCAGTCGTTTCGGTGAATCGAAGCGACCAAAAATGGTAGAGTGCCGTCGAAGTCCATCAATTCGTTTAGGATCGGTAATCGGTAGCTGAAGTAACTCCTAAACACAAAGGTAGATATTTGTAGGGTTTATTTATAATGTTTGTCCACTAAAAATTAGGTTTTATCTGTGATAAGCTGCTGAAAATCTAGCGTACTAAATCACCATTTTCAATAGCCCTGTCTTTGGTTTTATTTCAAGATATAAGGACCAGTAGGGTAAAGTTACCAATGAAACGGGTGTTCCGCCTGATTACTAGGATACCAGTCTATTTTTACTCAATATAGTAGAGTAAGAGGCATCCACGTCGTACCTGTCAATACTGCTCTCTTCCCCGAGATCACCGCGCTTGGCCAGTCCGCTCAGTTTCGCCATTAGGGAAGAATTCCCACCCTCCTAGATTCAACAGGGATGGCGAGATCTTCCCTAGGGAAGGAACCACTTTCTCAAATTAACGAGTGACATCACTTGTTTGAATGAGGTTACTTACTTATATGAAAGTTCTGAAATGGGTTCATCCATTTGGGGCAAAATTCTTCTACTTATATCGGCAGTTCTATTTGTAGAAGATTTATGTTTCTTTCATTTCCAAGTAGTCATATTAAACTAGTCTACAGGAGTGATGGTACGGTGAGAAATATCTAGAAAGGACACGACAGCTCTAACTGTTCACAGCATCAAACTAAACCAGGTGGTAGTTTGAGCGATGAGACACTGCAAGAAGATCACTAAATACTGTTGGATTTTGGTCCGTGGTTAACAGACTAAATTTGCCTCGATATCATGAGGAGTTCGTTTTTAGCAGACCTAATTCAGATCAGTTAAATGATGCAAGTTTTGTACACTTTCAATCTGGCTGACTGCAACAATCGTTCGTGAAAATATCTATCTATTCAATTTATCCCTTCGAATATTTCACAAAACCAGCTTAGGGTGATGTCACAGACAAAGTGGTTAAATCTTTACATTCATACATGGACATTTGTACCCTATTTGTGTTCTACATGCTCAGATCATTGTGCGAGGAACTCCAATGTGTAAACTATTTTATCCGGCCTCGAAGACGGCCGCTCCCCAGCAGCTGCTTACGAGAATTAATCAGTTAGTGACCTCAAAGCAAAAATGCGGTAGCTGAACTGAGGTAGCAGGAACTTTTCAACGGGGAAAAGGATGCACATTCCTTTATCAGTTGTCCGGCGAATCATAATGAGCTGTTGCTATAACTCTCCACTTGGATGTGAAATCTGTCATTATTATTAGTTTTCGGCATTATTTGTCTCAGTGATTTCTCAATGTGTGTAACTTAATGACGCCCCGTTGTTCGGCCACGAGGAATGGTCTTTCACAAATTTCTACTGTTTTAATCCAGGCACATGAGGTGGGTGGTACAATTAAGCACAGTTTAAATACTCATTCGTCCCAATTGGCTTATGGCAAGTACTATTTTGCATGTTGGTTCGTAATGGTGCATTACACGATTGCAAGAAACAGAAAGGGGGTAGCCCATTCACAATGAGTAGACATTCATTTATTCCAGTAACATATGATGGGCAATTCATGTGATAATTTCCCAGTCCACTGGTTTTGTGGTAGCCGAAAATAGGGCTCTTTTGGGCTGTCTTCTCCAAGTATTTTACCAGAAATAGAACTTATATAGATACCCATTCCTTGAAGTACATTTTACTGGTAACTGCTACTCATGAATTTCAAGAAGTGTAAATGGTCATCACTTTCAAATATATTCATGCTTTGCTCGCTCATCCCCATATGGTGATGAAAAAACGTACAATGTCCCTTCTCCATCAGGACTTCCAGGAAACCACACAAATACGATGTTCTTGAAAGACGCAAAACTGGGGAACAGAAATTCGAATAATCTTGAGTACAAAGTACAATCAGACGGTCGTAGTAGGAGGTGAAGCACTTAAAGGAATAAGTATTAAGCACATGGTACACTTTTATCCTAAAGGGTTCTGAAGAGGTAGGTGATGAACGTTCCGCGGAGGAATTGGAAGTAGTCTTCGAAAGTGAGAAGAGGATAATGAATTTCATTCGCTGTTCAGTTGGATAATCTCAGATTTCATAATCAGTTGTCCCGCCAGATTTTTTCCAAGAAATACTCCGTGATGTTTGTGCTGAAATAATACTGCAGCAGGTTTGCTGTAATAATCACTTAGTATCCAAATTTCGGATCCTTTCAAGAGAATTTTCAAAACTTGATCACCTGATTACGATGAAACCGTTTTGTAGCGCTTTTTTCTTCAATGATCGTCCCTTCACGGTTACCGGTCTCAGTAGGCTCCGTGGAAAAGAGTTCTAACATTTATGATAACATAACTTGAGAGCAACAGTGGCATACGAATTCCATTCTCACATTGAGAACCTGTGTTAATTCTATATTTCGACTGAAGTGCACAGTTAGAATGTACCGGATAATAATTTTCGTTACAACAACTACCACTCTGAACCGATCGTAACTGACTGGCCCGGACAGTAGCTGCTGAGACAAGGTTCAACTACTTTCCGCCTGAATTTTCACCCTTTGTTCGGTAAAAAACTTCAAAGAAAAAAAGCATAAAGATGCTAATGCAATCTGCTTAAGTTAATTTGTGTAATCATATTGGAGAACGTTACCTGCAGCTCCTTGTCACACGCGTTTTTTGTATTAAGTGCCCTCATTGAGAATTTGGGCAAATGAGGAAACATTGCGCGGAAGGCTCCATCCAACTTCATTAAATCTGTCTTCATAAGCGATGCACTCGGACGAACATGGGGGAGTTTCTCCACAGGATCATGAAGTGGGTACGTTATTTGACTCATTCTCATGTCCGAGCTGCATACGGGTGAAAGCTGATCCGTCTCCAAATGTGGAAAAGCAGCAACGGTTTCTTCTTCTACGTTAACACCTTTCACACATATGCGTACATGACAAGGAGGGCCACTTTCACGTTGTAGTTCATCGTGATGCGCGTATGCACGTTTTTTGCTATCCTGTTGCTCCAGCCCATCGGTGAGGCCACTTGGAGATAGTTTGACTGGCGTAATCGATGAAGTCGAAAATTCTGAACAAACAGAGGAAGCACGTAGTTGCTTCTCATTCAGCTCATTGCCTAAAAAGCAAGCAGAAACAAATGTAGCGAGCTCGGATTTTTCCAATAGCACTCGGTGAAAATGAAAAACGAACGTAATCCATATTCTAAAAAAGTAAACACTGATGTAATATCAGCATAGATTGTGTTCCGTTCAAACCCTGATTTACTGCGTTTCCTCTTAAACCTCCAGGATTTCCTGCCTTTTCTAGATGGTTTATTTTCTAGGTCTCAGTTAATGGGTTGGTTTAAAAAGATGAGTCAAATAAACTTACCAGCATCAGATGATGACAAGATACCAGTCACAACACAATTGCGAAACCGGATACTATGCTATCAAAAACGATTCTCGCCAGCGCCAAGTCTGTCATGGTCATGTGACACTAATCGATTAACCCAGTTACCAAACGGTCCACTAGACCATACCGCAACATCCAATTTGGTTCAACTTGCGTTAGGGTGACAACTAATCATCTGTCTTCGCGTTTTCTAATTTATTACTTAATCTCAGCTGTTTATCTCATTATTCACCTTTATTTTAACGAGGAGATCAAGAAAAATTGACTAATCGTCACTGTGTTATTGTTGAAATCATGGGAATATTGAAGCAAAGACAATCTTGCCTCATAACTAACATTGGAGTGATTCACGGACTGACCACTTAAGATTGATGGATAATGTGGGACCACTAAGCCACCGAGACCAGTTTATTTTTAGTAACGCACCTGCAAAGACCAGCTGGAAAGCATTCAGCCAAAACGTGTTTGGGTTAGAAATGGCCCAAAAATTATTAGTCGCATCTGACTGCAAACCACGCAAACGAATGGTTTCGCAGTAAACTTCTAAAAAAGGGGAATCGTATAAGTACAAGACTTTTTAAATCAGTATGTGCTACATCTATCCTACAACGCTTAATCATCTTTATTCTTACATGATAAGGCTGGTTCCAAAGGAACTTCCAACCTGAATTTCTCAGAAGACTCCGTCCCTGTTTGTCCTTCCACGGATCGTGCGAATGGAAGCCAGCTCGTGTTAAACACCAGATATATTAGGTACATCAGTAATTTATCATGTACCCTATTTTCATATTACAGACTTTTATCCAAAACTCCCATTAACAGGACTGTCCTCTTGCTCTTCGGTTTCCCACACACTTTCGTTTGCAGACTCATACTACCGGAATCACATGAGTCTCTGGTATATTTTCGAGGACCTCGTTCAGCCCGCAAGTGGGTCACTCTGAAGCCTATCTGACTTGACCAACTTTTCTGCAAGCACTGAAAGCAATACCACTCGACTGGTGGTCACTTGGCACACATAACACATGACCCAACAAATTCATCTTGCAACGCTTGATGTACTCCTAAGGGATCCACCGTCTGATTTACCCAAGACCCCGTTCCTGATAAATTCATTGCTGGTTCGCCGGCTCCAGGTATTGCTCTGATGCACCGTCTGTTAAAGACCTGAAGATGTCTCAGATTCTCCGCCGGGAGTTGTCGAGAATCGCAGCCGTACATCGATACAGCTGAGATCAAAGTCTGATACACGCATCCCTTGAAACCCAATAATGTCTGTTTGATACCACAAATGGTGCCAGATAGCAAAAGCAGTCATGAGCTTTGAGATTTGAATCGTCTGTCACACTACCGTCAGTGCTACTGTAACTCTCGTAATACGTATGGTATTTCACAACTTCCTATGTTACCCCTTGAATTCAGAGTGTACCTCCTGCAGCAGGAATTTTCACTTTGTGGGCGTGAAGCACATGTCAAGGGACTAGATGGCCTGGATAAGCTTTTCTAGTATCATCTTTGCCTCTCCTGATCTTTTTTGTAAAATAAGAATAATGTCATCTGCATACCACAGATTGGTAAGTTTCTATCTCGGATGGAATCGAACACCTGGGTTCTGAGACATTCCAAAGTTCACCACTTTACCTAATCAATGATGAAACTAAACAAAAATAGAGACGATGAACACCATTGTCAGAAATTGCTTATGGATTACTTCAGAGAGCTCTCCATACACTCTTATGTGCATGGTTTTCACGAACGTCTGGAGGGATATTCTGTTACGCAAGCGTTTTGGTCACAGAACTGAGCTCACCTTGAAGTCAAGGAGAACCAAGATTGTAGGACCCCCCTACGCATAACACTGTCCTAACACTTGACGGAATATGGAGATGTGGTCCACACACTCTCTTCCCGGCCGGAAACTTGCTGTCTGTTCCCAGCCTCTCCCTTCACGCGCCTTCGTAATAAAACGTAGAATAAGCGATGCAAGGAATCTGGTTACAAACGGGGTCAAGTTAGTTCCTCTGTGAAAGTCACATTCATTACAAGGCAAGGTTAGGACTGTTTCTTCCCCCCGGGTAGAGGCATACGAGGTAGAGAAGCACTGAACGAGAACGCTACCCCAATCTTTAAGCATACCGGTGGGAATTTCGTCGAGACTGTTGGCTCGGTGACGCCTGAGGAAGAAAATGGATTCGTTTACTTCCGAAGCTATCAGAGGTTCCAACTTCATCATCAGTGATTGCCTTGATGGCCAGAAATCCGGCTAAACAACGGCAGGTGGCCAGTTGAATTGTTGTTCAAAGTGTCCACCCTAAAGGTTCTGGGGTCTTTTTTTATAGGTAAGCGAGCAGCTCTCATCAGTGATTGTCTAGCTCCCCACAGGCCTTTTATGAAATTATTGTCCGGTTACCTTTCACTCCGAGACCATTCAGCTCGGCGGCTTAAAATGATGCCAACATCAGCAGAACCAGTCGCAGATGCAGACCATCGAAGACACATAACCGGAAGCGAAAGGAAACCAATGCGAAACCAGTTCTTGGGTCTCGAATCCTTGTTTTAGAAGGACAGCATACATCAACAGACAGCAAAAGCAGCGTACACGCATCTGCACTCTACTGCATTGAATTTTTCTATAAAAAACAGGTCGCCATACGTGGTTCAACCACATACCCAAGGACCAGAACATTGTGCCCGTCAGTTCTCTATCCACTAATCAACTTGATATGAGAAGCTGTGTGAGTGGAACACATACACGCTTCACTATGGTTTAATGGATTATGGAGGTGGACATATTATCAAGCCATGTTTAGTAGCGGACCTTTTATATTGACGTTAGTCTATACCGCCTTCACTTGCACCTCATGTGTGACATCTGGATTCAGTCTTGCTTTTGAAAACATCTGCTGAAAGGGTCCTTCGTCTCTGCGCGCAGTTTTGCGTAATCTTGATCACGGCTGAATGCCAGCAGTTTGTTACGAGCTCATAATCGGACAATTACTGCGTCCAATATCAGTGAGTAGCATGTCGTGAACTTTCCCATGAAATTTCCTGGTAACAGTCTAAGAAACCATTATGAATTACTGAGCGTAGTGCAATCAAGCGTGACTCCAAGTGTGCACGTATACTTCACTTATAACCACAAGAAATAAAGATACGAAAAATCATCTCCTGTGTCAGTGACTGAATATCGTGTAGGCTCTGTCTACAAATGGGCGAAGCGACACGGACAACAGATCCTTGAAAAGTCGGATGACCTGTTCATTGGTCAGAACGGCTTGTTTGCACGCCTCCAGGACATCTCTAGCACACACGGTGTTTTGGTTCGTTCATCGAAGAGCGAACCGACCTTTCATGTGGTGAAATTCTTGGGCAGACATGATCATGCACGTGCCAAGGCCGAACGTCCTATGTTTTAAAGTCAAGGTCACCGTGCAGGTGACCTACCGGTGGTTGAGATTCGCGGAGGTGTGAAAACGAAATATAACCTCAGCTCACCTTCAGTCGTTCCACCACCACCACACTTTCCATACCCTAGCAAAAAACAGCACGTTAACTGATTTGGTTTTCACGGGAGATTCAATTGAATCTCTCGTTTATGATGTCCTCCAGCTGAATGTACTGCACACAGGCCGCCTCATGATTCAGTTGACACGATATTCGAGATATTGCAGCATATTTTCATAAAGGAAACTACTCACAAGGTTGCTGTGTCGAAGGGTTTTCAGCAACCTTGTGAGTAGTTTCCTTTATGAAAATATACTGCAATATCTCGAATATCGTTCCAACTGAGACGTTTCCATATTAGGTCGCTAGATCAGCATAGAGTGTCAATTAACGACTCTTGTTGGTTAGTGTGATTGCCACAATCTTGCATTGATGGGTTGGGGGGTTGGTTTCTTAATCTTCCACTTCAAGGTGCTTCAGTTGATGGTTCACCGAGGTTGCCACTGGTAGATTTTGTTGGTCTTTGTGGGCTTGTGAGTGTTGCGAGAGTTTAGTTGGAGTAAGGGTTAGTTGGGCGAGGTTAAGTGGAATTCAGATGACGATTACTCATCCTTCTGATAAGCCCACACCAACACGTGTCAGGTCGACTGATCCACGACCAGTCTCCACACGAGTGGAAGTTCACGCCTTCCGTTCTGTTAACACTGAAATGCTTGGCGATTTCGACCGCCTCGCTCATCAGTCTCAGTGATGTGGACCGTAGTCCTCGTCTCAAAACATCAACATTTTCTAAATGTTTTGTGTCCCGTGTCCAGTGCATGTTCTGTAATTGCCGAGTCTTTCATCCGGGTTCCTTGGCGGCCTGTTTATTCACTCCTATGCTCTCCGATTCTGGTGCGAAGTCCTCTGGCCGTCTGTCCCATATAGATCTTAGTGCAGTCGTTACACTTTATTTGGTAGACACAGTCCCTGGTTTTGCTTGCCGGGAGACGATCCTTCAACTGCACCAGTACAGAGCGCAGAGGGTTTCCCCTCTGGAAAGCTAATTTTATGTTGACCCTATTTAGAATCCTTCGAGTGATCTCCGATGTCCCTAGTTTATAGGGAATAACAGCCGCCCCAAGCCAATCTCTTTTGGGTCTCGACACCGGTACCAGCACCCTTCGTAATTGACGCCTAATCAAACTAGTTGTACATCCACTAACCCGAAGTGTGTACTTCACTTCGATTCGGGCTACTGTCCGACCAAATTTCTTTGTGTACAGGGCCCTTACAG